GCATTGTAAACTGTGGTCAGTGACATGAGACAAAGTATATGTGAACTGCTGTATGGAAAGTGAATTTGCTCTGTAAATCTTCACCCAAATCACAATAAATAAAATTAAATTAAAAAAAAAAAAGACCGGAAAGAAATAAAAGACCAAAATTGATGTCAGAAAAGACTCTGAAACTTGCTCTAGAATGCAGAGTAACTAAAACAAGTGGAAGAAATGATGAAGTAAAAGATCTGAACAGAATACTTCAAAGAATGGCTCTAGAAGACAAAGTATTATAATGAAATGTGCAAAGACCTGGAGTTAGAAAACCAAAAAGAAAGAACATGTTTGGTATTTCTTACACTGAAAGAAATGAAGAAAAAATTCAAGCCTTGAGTTGCAATATTGAAGGATTCTATGGGCAAAATATTGAAAAGAAGATGGAAGGAATGCACAGAGGCACTGAACCAGAAAGAACTGGTCAAAGTTCAACAACATCAAGAGATAGTATATTACCAAGAAATGATGGTATTGAAAGAAGTACGGCTCCACTGAAGGCACTGGTGAAAAACAAGGGTTCAGGAATTGAAGGAATACCAATTGAAATGTTTCAACAAACAAATGCAGCTCTGGAAGCAATCATTCATCTATGCCAAGAAATTTATAAGACCTGGCCAACTGACTTGCAATGTTCCCATTGCAGAGAAATGTAATGCAACAGAATGAAGAAATTATCAAACTGTGTGTTTATAAATCAGGAAAGGTGTGTGTCAGGGTTATATCCTTTCCTCATATTTATTCAATCTGCATGCTGAGCAAATAATCCGAGAAGCTAGACTATATGAAGAAGAATGTGGCATCAGATTGGAGACAGCTCATTAACAATCTGCAATATGCTGATGACATAATCTTGCTTGTTGAAATCAAAGATGGCATGAAGAACTTGCTGATGAATATCAAAGACTTCCTTCTGCCTTCAGCAAGAATTATATCTCAAGATAAAGAAAACAAAAATCCATACAACCGGATCAATTAGCAACATTATGAAAAATAGAGAAAATACTGAAGTTGTCAAGGATTTCATTTTACTTGGATCCACAATCAATGCTCATGGAAGCAGCACTCAAGAAATCAAACGACATACTACATTGGGAAAATCTGCTGCAAAAGACCTCTTTAAAGTGTTAAAGAGCAAAGATATCACTTTGAGGACTAAGCTGTGCCTGACCCAACCCACAGTATTTTCAATCAACTCATATGAATGGGAAAGCTGGACAATGAAAAAGGAAGACCAAAGAAGAATTGATTTCTGGTGGTAGTGAAGAATATTAAATATACCATGGGCTGCCAGAAGAACAAATAAATTTGTCCTTAAAAGCAAAGCTGTCAAGACTTCATCTCATGTCCTTTGATCATGTTATCATAAGAGATCAGTCCCTGGAAAGAAGCATCATGCTTGGTAAAGTAGAGAGTCAGAGAAAAAGAAGAGACCTCTCAATGAGATGAAATTATACAGTGGCTGCAATGATGGATCCAAGCACAGCAACAACTGTGAGGATGGCACAGGACTGGGCAGTATTTTTTCCTGTTGTACATCGGGTCATTATGAGTGAGAACCAACTTGACAGCACCTGACAACAACATGTTACAAACTGGATCAAGAACTATTTCTTTCACATGACTTCACTTACGATTTTTGGAGGAAGATAGTTTGGATCTGTGCCTTTGGCTATTGAGAGTCTTAATATCCGCGGAGAAGCATCGGGGATTTTAAAAGAATCCCTTATGTTACCACTGAAGGGCCTGTATACAAATGGAAAAATTAAATGTTATAATCATTGGATGGAAGAAAAATAGCTACATTTTTCATTGCTTTAATTGACTTCCAATCAATAATATTTATTGTTTCTATCTTAAGAGCGTATTTTCCTATAATCTCTATTGCTTTTACTATCAGATTGTTGTTCTTAAAATTTTTTTACTATGATCCAAAGAAGTACATTTTGTGTTGTGATATAGCATATGTACATGTGTGTATGAAACAAAATTATCATGAAACAATTTCTACCTTATGCAATGTATTCTGATTTTAAAAAATTTTTAATTTGACTTCACTAAAAAAAACTGATTGCAAGCTACTAAATTAATTTCATGATCCACTGATGGTTTGTAACCTGCAATATAAAAAGTACCTCACTTTCTGCCAAAACCCCATATTAAATCTCTGAGTTAAAAATTTCATTTACCACCAAGGACCACTCTGTGTTGGCCAGTCACTTCTGTGGTACAGTTTGAGATAGGGTTGGCCATAACTCCCAGTCACTTGGCTAATAATCATAGGCTATTTGACATGGAACAATGGTTAAAGCATTTGGCTGCTAAAAAAAAATGTCAGTGGTTCAAGCCTACCAGCCACTTCACAGGAGAAAGATGAGGCAGTCTGCTACCATGAAGATTTACAGCTTTGGAAACTCTCTGGGGTAGTTCAATTCTGTCCTAATAAGGTTGTTATGAGTCAGAATCGACTTAATGGCAGTGGATTTGGTTTTTGCTTTTATTCCCACATATTCCTATCCCTCACCAAAAACGTAACAATCAACCAACAAACCAACAAGCTGAATGTGGGAAAAGGTTTTCCCAAATAAATATATCATTACTGTCTAGAGTGCTCTGTTAGTTTGTTTTTATATTTTTAATTGAGATATAATTCATATACAATAAAATCCATCTTTTAAAGCACACAATAAGTGGTTTTTAGACTATTCACAAAGTTGTGTAAAAATCATCACAATCTAATTCCAGAACATTTCACACCCAGCAAGAAACCCCGTACACATTAGTAGTCACTCCCTAGTCTTCCCTACTCCAGTCCCTGGCAACTACTAATCAATGTACTTTCCGTCATTACGGATATACCTATTCTAGAAATTTCAAAGAAATGGAATCGTACAATATATTGTCTTTTGTGTCTGGATGGCTTCACTTAGTAAAATGTTTGCAAGATTCATAATATTTCATTCCTTTTTATAGCTAAATAATATTTCATTGTATGGATATACCACATTTTGTTTACCCACTCATCCACTAATGGACATTTGGGTTATATCTACCTATTATGAATGATGCTACTGTGAATATTCCTTTTTTTTTTTTTTTTGTGATTTGTGTGAAGATTTACAGAGCAAATTCACTTTCCATACAGCAGTTCACATATACTTTGTCTCATGACATTGACCACAGTTTATCATAATGCAGCAGCTCCCCTCCCACTTCCTCCCCATAGTTACCTCTTCCCTATATCCATCCTTCCATGGATTCCTGTCACCTGAGCTGTCTCCCTGTGCATAAGCAGCCCTTCTTTCTCCCATGATTGTTCTCTCCAAGAAGAGTATCTACTTGAGGTAAATGTTCAACTCATATGCTTGTCTTTTGTTTGGCTGGAAACCA